GGGGTTGTGTGTGTGTGTGTGTGTGTGTGTGTGTGTGTGTGTGTGTGTGTGTGTGTGTGTGTGTGTGTGTGTGTGTGTGCCCTTTGCATACCCTTGCATGCAAAAATAATAATAACCTACACCAGGATTTTTTTCCCCAAGTGTTTTCATTAGTCTTGAGGCATGAAAACGAAATAATGACAGTGGATGGCAACACACATAAAGGGTCCATTGTAGTGGTTGATGCACAACTGTGACATTAAGAAGAATTAATATAAGAGAAAAACAGCATGTGACTAGCTGTCCACTCGAGTAACCGCTGTCCCTGAAAGGGTTAATGCAAAGCCACTGACGGGGGTACTTTTACGTGTGAATGCTTGTCTATATGTGACCTCTCAACTCACCTCAACTCAACTGTATTTATAGAGCACTGCGGTTGGTCGGCCACCAGTCCAAAATGCATCCCGCCTTTCGCCCAAAGTCCTCTGAGATAAGGCTCCAACTCCCCCACGTGATAAAAAAATGGAAGCAAACATGATGTATCGCCTTTTAAAGCGACAGCTCGTTTACTATTTCCCTCACTTAAACGAACATGGTCGAAAAAAAAAAAAAAAGGAGAGCTATTTCCCTTCCGGGCTTGCTGTTGCAGACCGTAGTCAGTCTCTTACAATCACGGCAACCTTTTCATCATCCCACAAAGCTTCTCATCACTCCCACTAAGCCGCGCCAACATGTTGAATTCACGGCTGCACTCGCCGACCCCATGCTGAGCATCCTCTTCGTTCAAGGACACATTCTCTGTCGGTCACTAAGAAACCGGCGAATGGGTTGTCGAGTTGTTTAATTTCATTTTCTATTTTTTTTAAAGAAAGTGGAGCGGGCCATAGATGTTTGTGATTTAGACCATAGAATTTTTTCACTGTTACTGTCACCGGTGTCTCGTTCCCAATGAAGAGCGGCGCACCGGTGTCTCGTTCCCAGTCAAGTATTTAGTATTTGGGTCATGAGCCACATGCTGCTTTACCGATTCTAAAGACCCATTCTTATCTAAATTTAATGGTACATTTTCATGACGTCCAATTATGGATTTGACACACAGAATTTGGGCTTTGCCTGTGAAAACTACATTGCTGCTAATTAGAGGTGTAACCGACAGGAAAACATCAGCGCCGTCCATCTCTGAGTGAAAAACTGAAAAGATGGAAAATTAATCAATCAATCAATGCACAAACATTGCCTCAAACCACGACACCAACGATAAAACATTGCATGTAAACAGAGGCCCAGAGGACAGCCGCTCACATTATAAATCATGTCAAGCATTTCAAACTGATATAGTCGAGGTTACTTTCAATGTATAAGTACACAACATGACAGCTGCATTAACACTGCCCAAGGTAAGATAAGAAAAAAAATATATTTCATGACAAAATCTAGCCACCTTTCACAGGCCGCAGTTGTATCATAGCAACAACATTCAGATAAGACAACTGATGATATCACTCCTGGGTTTTTTTTTCTTCTTTTTTTCATGTACGCAGGGAAGCGGTACTTATTTATATCGCCCTTAACTCTTTCAGGGACAACGGTTACTACAGTGGACAACTTATTATGTTATCAGGTTACAGGAAGGGTTCATGACAGAACCGTCTCAAAGGGGGCTTCACATGCCCAGAGTTTAACAAATTTTCAAGACATCCCCCGATCGTAACCCCCACTGCAGGGCATGGAAAAACAGTGTGGAAAAAAATGTGGTTGTTGTCACACCCTCTTGTCAGCATGAATAGGAACAAAAACCCATCAGGAAACCATCAAGTAATCCAAAAGGATCTCAAATGTGCCATTAAATCTTCCTCCTTTTTATAATAATAAGTGAGTCTGTCTAGAGACCGTCTGAAACGCCCACGAAGATCAAGCATAGCCCTCTGAGTATTTTAGAAAATAAATTGTTATGATCTCGCTGTAAGAAATCAAGTTACACTCAAGCGCTCTTCCCCCTTCGGGCCATATTTGCTATTACACAAGTGCTGTCATAAGTCATTTTAATGACATTTTCCCTTATCCTCACCTCAATACTTTTCTATTTCCCCGCACTGTTAGAAATCTTTCAGCAGCGCGCCACTGTGAAGTTTATAGAAAATCAAGCCTTGCAGCGTTTTATTTGCGTCTCAAGTGTGGGTGAGCCATGGTGCTCTTTTCTTTCTACAACACGTTCAAACTTGAAACCTTAAGCGACACATTTCATCCGACTTATTGTTTTCCCCTTGCAGCGTCTCTTAATGAGGTTTTCAGACAAGGACAGCTGCAGCTTCTGTCATAAATTAGGCCGATACTGACGCAAAGTCACTACTTCAAATGAGGAGTGATATGATGAAGAATAACCTTTGTGATTGGTATCCTACTATTTCTGCGCGGAATTTGTGATGTCGCTTGGCCATTTTTTTCAACTCCTTTTCCTCTGTGTGGTATTGGTGGGTGATGTCTGGAGTCGGGCATGAGCGCAGCAGAAACCTTTGGTGAACTTGCAAATCCAAAGTATGAATGGAGACGGTACTAAGTGGAGTGGAACTCTCAGATCAAATGTTTCACTTCTTTTTTTAAACAAATCAAACAGAAGTATCTTAAAATGAACTCTAAAATGTCCTGGGAGCCAGTAAAGGGAAGCCAGAGTTGGCGTTTTGTCCTCCCTCTTACGAGCTCCAGTTAGGAGGCGAGCAGCAGCATTTTGGAGCAACTGGACGCGCATGAAGGAGGACTGCCTGACTCCAAAATGAAGTGCTTTTCAGTCATCTGGGACTGGTGACTTGAGATAAAAGGGGGCCCAGGTCAACAGGGCGGGATGTGCAAGGGCCACTGGGACAAACACCATCACTTCTGTTTTCTGTTCATTGAAATTTTAAGAAATTCATTGACATCCACACTTTGATTTCCTCAAAGTCATCATCGCGCCCGGTAAGAAGTCAAGTGCAAGTCATCAATGGCCTTCTAAATCCAACTGTCAGAATCAGAATCATTTTTATTGGCCAAGTATGTAGAACACACAAGGAATTTGTCTCCGGTAGTACACACTACACTAACAAGCAACTACGATAAACAAGGTCATGACAAATAAGTATGGAAAGACATTGCGTAACGTAAGGGTACCGTTGTGCGGGAGTACCACCCAATGACAGCTGTGAGACAATGTGCAAAATATCAAGCAGCGCTAAAGTGATCAATGGTAGAATACAATACGATAACAGTTGTGAGGTTGGTGCAGATAATCATCGCGCCATTTTAAAGTGACCAGTAGCAGTATTTGTAGAGCAAGTTTAAGTGTGCAATTGTACAGATGTACTTGAGGGCTTGAAAGTGTCTGGTGCTGTGGAATAGAGATCAGTGACAATGGTTCAAGTACAGAGCTGGAGCGACAATGATTATTGCGGTAATGCTGTTTCGCAGGGGCTGTGCAAAATTGCAAAGAGCCACTATACAGGTAGAATTGGGTTACTGTTTAGGGAGTTAATAGCTAGAGGAAGAAGAAGCTGTTTGAATGTCTGCTGGATTTGGTGCGCAGGGATCGGTAGCGCTTGCCTGAGGGGAGTAGCTGGAAAAGGTGGTGGGCAGGGTGTTGGGGGTCCAGAAGTATTTTCCGTGCGCTTGTCTTGGTTCTTGCGGTGTGCAAGTCCTCAAGAATGGGTAGAACGCTAGGAGAGCTTCCTAAATCCAAATCAAGGATGGAGAGTGACATAAACAAGTAGTTTCGGGAGTTTTAATGGACATCGATATCATTGTGATGGATCTTTTGATGGACTTTGAATCCAAGAGAAGTACAGCGGGCGAAGAGCCCAAGGTAGAGTCGGCACTGAAATTTTCCATTTTTGTCATTCCTCGATGCTGATTTGGGCAGACTTCTAGCTCCAAATAAAGTTTGAGTGAGGATGGATAAGACCTCGAGTATCAAAAATAACCACACAGATAAATGAATGTGACCAGTGAGCATGGCTTTCACCGCCGTCTGTTTTTGCTTCTCCAGTTCTCTGCGGAGCCCCTCCTCAAGTGGAAAATGCTTTTGTGGTTGGCCGGAAGCGCTCTCACTATGACATCCACTCGACTGTGCGCTACCAGTGTGTCGACGGCTTCCAGCAGCGCCACGTACCGACAACAAAGTGCCGTGCCAACGGCAAGTGGGACGAACCAAAAATCAAATGCACAAAATGTGAGTTTTTTTCTTCTCCCCAAGCAATTCTAGCAGCTCTTGTTTCTTCGGCTATTTCACTTTTTTTTTTTTTTTTCACTCTGCTTTCATTTTGCTCATGTATGATTGCACAAAAAAAACAGAACTCCAGGCTCACCACAACTTCTCATATTAACTCTTTCATGCACTAATAATGATAACCTGTAACCTGATAACATGATAGGCAGTCCACTGTAGTACCCGCTGTCCCAGGGTTAATGATTGCAAGCAAAAAAAGATCACAGTTGTCGGGCCACCCCGCAGCTTTACTGGGAAAGTAGAAGGCCCTTCCTTGAAGCACCGCAGACTTCGAAACTTGACTCCTATTTTTGAGACAAATTTGTTTGGAATCGAGTATAGTTGATTGAGAGAAACTTGATGTCCATTCCAACCATTCATGATCCAATCAAACACATTTTTATGAGGATACAAAATACGGTTATGTTATAGATGTTTGTTTTTTTTAGCAATAATCATGTTTTATACTCATATATATATATATGTGTGTGTGTATATATGTATATATATGTATATATATATATATATATGTATATATATGTATATATATATATGTATATATATATATATATATATATATATATATATATATATGTCAAGGTAACCTGACATATAGAGTTATGATATACATAACGGAAAATTAAAGCTGCAATCAACAATGGATTTTTCATGCTGAATCCTCAAATGATTTCCGCCTACATTACATGGTGTGGGGGGGGGGGGGCTTGGCAATTCAACATCACCATCTGTCTAGGATACCTGCTTTTGATTAGTACGAGCCCTGAAATTCACCCAAAATTGCTGCATCAAGCCAAAACAGCAGACATCGCCTGGTGAGTTTTGGCCAAGGCACCTTGAGATGTTTTTAATCTGTCTTCTTATAAAAGACAAATCCACAGGATTTTGTGTCAATCGTTGAAACTGGTTTGTTTTTCTAACTTTCCAAGGGACACTACTGAGTGATTTTCTTGAAAAATAAAAATTAAAAAATAGCCCCCGAAGACAGTTTTACTAAGCAACATAAAATGTTGTCAGCATCTCTATTGTGAGTAGACCAATACAAATGTGTCACAAAGTCATGCTGTAAAACAAACAAAGCGGCTATTTCAGGACATTTTATGGTCTTTCAAAAACGAAGTCCCCCTGGCAGTTTTTTTCTGACTGCAACCAAATGAAAATGAACCGTTGTACTGCAAAATAGACAGGCCGGCAAGACTAAGTTGCGGAAAACTTGAGTTGTCTTCTGGATGGAGCATGGCGGCTCGGTTTGATGACTCGCCATAAAATACAAAACTCTTTCGTGAGCTTCCCAAGATCAGAGCGGCACGAAGCGTCTTTTTGCTACTCCGTGTAAGAGGGGGTGGGTGGTGGGGGGGAACAACTTCTGATGATTTTAACTCTTTCAAGGACAGCGGTTACCACAGTGGACAGCTTTTCACGTTATCAGGTTACAGGGTGCATGAAAGGGTTAATTCGTGGTTGTCTCTCGCCCATCAAAACATTCATTTATTTCAATGCTACATATTTCCTGCACCTTATTTCTTTTCAAATATACAACGTTGTCCCAAATCCATTCCCAAATGATGCTCTGACAGTTTTCACTTCATAACCTTTCAGCATAATAATGATTCCTCTTCAAAGGACAGATAAAGGATACACGCGCGACGATTCCACCCGAATGTCATTTCACTGATGAAGAAACACGGAATAATGGCACCTCTGTCTAAAAGTGAATTAAGATTGCTTTTCCTGTGGCACTTTATCTTTTCTTTCCCCCCCCCCTAAATTCTGTGGCCCAGAGTTATAATGTTCTTATCGTTGATTGCAGACAGCATTTTCTTTGTTGGCAACATGCAGGAAGGGACACGGAGGACATTTGGCAGTACAGCCTGGGAAGAAGCTTATGAGTGAGCGGCCCATGACTAGCACCACTGATGCAACAAATGTTCTCTCAGTGCTGTGGAAAACAACCCCTATACAGACATACGTATATACTGTATATATTCTGTATAATTATATATTATTATTTTTTGTTTGTTTTACTCGTATTTGTGTGTATACCGTATTTTCCACACTAAAAGGCGTACTGGATTATGCGGCGCACCTTCAATGAATGGCCTATTTTGTCATTTTTTTCATACATTGGGCACACCGCATTATAAGACGCAATCTACAATGCATCCACTAGATGGAGCTACGCTCAAGATAACACAAACAGAACGATCAGATGTCAGTAAAAACGTATTTAATAAAGCAGCGACACAGTTCACTTAACCAACAGCAAGTTGTAACATTGACTCGTTAACGTTGAACTCTCTTGCCGCTGCTCTGTTTCCGTGTTCAACTGCGTAACCGATCGCCTTGAACTCTACGTTGTAAGCATGATTTTAAGGCGCGCTGTGAGCTTTTAAGAAAATGGAAGGCTTTTAGGTTCGCCTTTTAGTGCGGAAAATACGGTATATGTATATCTGATGTCATTTGTGTAATCGCTCTATTGATTTCCTTTAAAAATTGACCCTGGCTTCGTTGCTTCCCCCCCAGCAGCTCGACAGGCCCACCGGTACCGGCGCCACCACCACAACCACCACCACAAGGGCAGACGGGAGCGCAGAAAGCACAAGCGGCACGGCCACCGGATCGGCGGCCACCACGGCGCCGACCACGGCCTCAAGCAAAGCCACTTCTGAACCAATAGAGAAGCAAAAAAAAAACAAAAAAAAAAAACCACATCCGTTCTTCTCTTGTCCTTCTGTCCCCATCCTTCATTCCTCTTCCTATTTTTCACTCCCCCTTCTCCATCAGTCCGTTCCTACGCTGGAGTCCTCCTGTATCATAGGAAATTCCTGGACAATAGCCGGGACGATAGCCGCTCCCTCCGTTTCCCTTTTTACGTTTTCTTTCTCCCGGTTTTCTTGTCACTCACACTCACTCGAGTGCAAATTGTAAATAGGATCTTTGTGTTTTCGTTTTTGTTTTCTCGGCTCTCTGGGTTTATTTCTTTTCTTGTGTGTGTGACTCAGGTCCATCACATGTCTGTCATTCAGCATTGTTCGAGGCGGGAAAGTTGCGGAAAATGTAAAACTGTTCAATATCATTTCAAATACATCTTTTACACTTCAAAATAAATGGTAGACCGATGATTTGATTTTGAAAAAAAAAATGCACCCCAAATGTGCATGTACTGCATCGGCGGAAGAAGACCTTTCATAACAAGCCATACTAAATTTAGCTCCTCCCCGACATTTCAAGCTCATTTCTCAATCAAGATGTATCCAATCACCCGACAGGACTTGCTCGGAAGAATTATTGTGCAGTGTTTCCTTGCATATTCGCAACTCACGAATTCACCTCTTTACGCAAATGTTTTTGTTTGTTTGTCAGGAACCTATTCTTGTTATTTGCTGAAAAGTTCAAAAATTTCGTGCTCAGGCCAAAGCCCTGTAAAGTATTGTTATCCATTTTGTGGCATCCTGGTGCCGAGGAACTTTGTAGAATTGATTTGAGAAGCTTCGAGTAGTGCTTTGCCGGCATCGATTTTCAAATGCAAACCTATTTGCCACTGTGCTACCCTTTCCTATTTAGACATGGCTTTGGCGCCATCTTGTGGCATTTTGGTGCCAAGGAACTATGTTGAAGTGGGTTGAGGAGAGTCATGTAGTGATTTGCTGCCATCCTGTGGATGGTAATTGCTAGCAGATTTTCACTATTCGCAGCAGGACTGGGTCCCTAACACGGTACTACTTTCCTATTTGGGCATTGCCTTGGCACTGTCTTGTGACATTTTCAGCAAATAGTTTACGCAGAAATTAAAAACAAACTCCAAAGTGTGAATTTGAACATTAAACTCCAAATACGCAGGCGGTTGTCTATAAATCGGCTCTTATGTTAGGGCCATGATGCTGCCATTTTGCGATAGCTCTGTAGACTCCCCTTTCACACTCGCTGTAAAAGCCACACCTTTCCCCACCTCTTGTTTTTGTGTTCAAAGCAACTGCCGCCACCCGGATATGTATTTCATACGTCACACCAGGCAGAGGCTCTGATGTTTTTGTGTAATGCTGTGTCTCTGTGTGAAATCTCTGCCATGACCATTTTGTCATTTGTTTCTGTGTGAAAGGTGGAAAGGTGTGTGTGTATATGCGTGTGTATATATTGGCGACTCACTCGGTTGACTCGAAAGTCAAGATACAAGAAGCATTTTGCTCCCTCATTCCTGACAATTTGCTGTCTCCCCCCCTCCCCCTTTTTTTTCCCTCTAAATTCAGCAGTTAAGGCTTCAGTTTGTGGATTAAGTCCACATCACTGACTGCTGTATTTCTTATTCTCGTCTGTTAGTTCTTTTTTTTTTTAACCCACCTTCACTTATTTTTAATCTCTTGTGCTCAGCAGACACAAGAATGCACTCGAGCAAGCTCTGACTTAACTCAGAGCCCGGTTCCTCAAAGTGATACAATTTGGTTTGGATGTTAAGAGGAGACCATATAAGACAGTGTGAAGGGTACTTAACGGCATGTTTCCATTCATGGGTATGGTTTGGTTCCATTGTCAAACGCTACAACGGGGACCAGAAGACATGTTAGGTTTCATTGTTTTACCCTTTCAGGGACAGCGGTTACTACAGTGGACAGTTTATCATGTTATCAGGTTACAGGGTGCATGAAAGGGTTAGATTATGAAGTCTACCCCCCGCCCCAAAAAAAACCCTGTCATACTCCCAATTTTTTTCCACTGTACTGTATTACTTCACATTATTATTATTCTCCATCGACCAATCAACGAGCAGCAGGTTTAGCTCCGCCCGACAATACGTGCCTGGGACACCACCAAAATGTTGCTGAAAAGACTCTGCATCTTCTTACATTGGCAGGGAGAACGTGCACCGAGATTCCTCGCTGCTTCCCCGCAACGTCCTATCACTTTAATTAATCTCTGCGTGTTTAATTAACAAAACAGATTATCTGCAGCACCGCCCCCGCATCGTGAATCAGTTTGATGGACACGCAACGGAAAAGTCAATCTAGCCAATCGTCGTCATCAGGCCAACACAAGCATGCAAGAGCATTTTCAGTTAAAGTTTATCTCTGAGCAGGAAAACAAGCAAAGAAAAGCCCTCTTCATGCAGTTCGGTATGAAGATCTGATTGTGAGTTAGAGAAAAGGAATGATTAGATGACAATTACGATGAAATCGCACATCTTCACCCCCCCCCCCACGCAGAGATGTTAATTGTAATTCGTGACAAATTCACAGAATTATGAGGAAAACTGTTTTTTTTTTGGTTTTTTTTTACAAAATAGGACAAAAGGCTTTTTTTCCTTTCAAGTTGTCATGTGACTGGAAAAAGTACTTTTTTCCCCTCGAGAAATAACGTAATGTTATGAAAGCACATTTGTTATATTCCAAGAAAAATATCTTTTTTTTCTCAAACAATTTGTAATCTGATGAGATGCATATTTATCACACGCAAAGGTTCCAGTTCATTAAACCAATTTTAATATCACATAGAGAGAACCCATGTTAATTTAAGCATATGTTTTTTTTTCAATTAATTGGCTGATTTCCAAAAATCGGCATCACAAAATCCATATTGGTCAGGCCCGACTATACAGCATTAATCTTCCAATATTAGGACTTTGTTCTTGGAAAAAAATAAAACTGAATGTGAATTTCTTGACATGTAATTATTTTTCTCACAAATCACAATTTGGTTGGAGTTTTGCTACATACGTGTTTTAAAAATTATGCACAATTTTGAATTTGGTCTCGTAATATTGCAACTTAAGCATAAGAAAAATGTTGTGTTTTGCAATAAAAATGACACATTCATTCTCGGGATATATGAATATAATGATATAACGGCATGGAGTAAATACATTTGTGCGCAGTTTTAAAATCTTTGTCATGTAAATATATTTTGGGGGTTTTTAAACTCTGTATGTGGCTCATAATCATCAGCCTTTTTTAAACCAGATGAAAATACAAGAGTAGAGCCCGTAAGTGCATTAGTGTGTGTGCCTGTGTGTGTATGTATTTATTCATATTTATTGACGTGTGCTCATCATTTTCAGTCCAGTCATTGTATTTTTTTCCAGTCAAACGATCATTAAAGCAAACCTTGTTTGGATCTGTAACTTGGCTCTGTCACTGTTATTATTTGTGCATTTATTTATTTACACTTAACACAAATCTTAACACGCTCAACTTTTGAAGCCTCAGGCCACTTGGAATAAGAATCGTGTAATGGACAATGTTTTGTGGGAAAAGTGTGCCACAAAAATTCATTTGCTTTGGCTTTTAAACAAAGTGACATGGGGGAAAAAACGTCTGGCTTTTCAATACAATATGAGCATTTTATTTTAAAAATAGAATTAATCAATGTTAACGTAAATCGCCCAAAGGATAATGGCGAACGAACAGCATTTAAACTTAGTCCTGCTAAACGTGTTGGCCTGCTGCAGGCAGTGCAACACGAGCAATTTAATTAATTTTGTCAAGCGGAAGTTAATGTCCAAAGTGGAAACTAAGGGTAATGGCTTTGCTAGCATGGAAATGACCAGAGACGCCTGCCAAGAAACTGCACATTTTTATCGTCCATAACTGCGTTAAGTCCGTCACGTACGTTCAGGGGTGACTAGTTTTACTTCATTTTGGTTTTAAGGAACCTGTTGCAAATAATTCAATTAATAACCAGTCAATCCAAAATTCACTTGAATAGCGTGTGCTAACACAGTTAGCATGTATGCTAAAGCGTCATGCTCACGACTATCGGAGGAAATGACGAGAACCTTGACAAGAACTAATGGCACTCTGCGTTCATTAGGTGAGTAGTTCTACTTTGTCTTACTGCCCTATGCAACATGAATGATCATCTACCACATCTGTCAATAAATTTTGCCGATCAATATGCTAATTTGTTCAGCATTTAGCTGAAACCATCAAGGCTGATGACTTTGTTGGAAATTTACCAGTTAAGAATGTTACATAAAACGTCGTTAGTTCATCAAGGCTTTATGGAAGCAACATTTTAAATTGTTTCCGAAAATTGTGTTGGTATGTTTATTTTTAAATCTGGAAATTCATTTCATATCATTCGAGGTTGTGGTCTGACATGGCTCTTGTCTCCTTCCAATTAACAACACTTTTCTGAAATTTTTGTAATGTTTTCTCGTTATGAAGGACACACGAACTGCCATTTTTGTTTCAGCGTTTTCTCTTGTTTCTGCCAGCGAGGAAACTAAGCAACTGTGTTCTTGTTCATTCGTCCTTCGGTGATATTTTACTTTCGCAGTAAGAAGTGTTTTGTTAAGTTGTTTTGGCTTTGTAAGTTATAGATTGATGATAAAGCTACACTCATAGATGTTGTAAATAAATCACTGTCAGGAAAGAAAAATAAATGTGGCTTTAAATATTTTCAGGCGCATTGTATCAATCCCAGCCAACTGCATGTGCCGCATTGGGTAAAGATGCTCACAGCTAACCAGATATAAATAATACAAACATTTTTTCTTCCAGTTGGCTGCAGACTTCAAGAGAGGTTAAGAGAGAGGGGGGGGGCAGTTCCTTGGTTGCCATGACGATGGAGAAAGAGGAAAGAGGGTCTTAAGGTGAGAGGAAGGACTAGACAAATAAACGGTTGTCTGTGAGTTTACGCCCACGATTGCAACCTCGATGGCCTTCACTTCATCAGCATGAGATGTTTTGTACATACAGTTTTTAAAATCTGCTCCCCTATTCCTCTCATTGCTTTTTAAAAACATCTTTACGATTCACAGCTGTGCTCACATACAAAGGATCAAATCTGCATGTTTTTCTTTTTCTTTTTTTTTTCAACACTTATTTCAAAAGAGCTGGCAGCTTCAACGAGAAGTGTAAAGAGATTAAGTCAGACTCCGAGGTCACAAATTATCAAAGGTAAAATAGACTGTTTAGCGCTTTTTTTTTTTTAAGGAGGTTAAATTATTTTTCAAACTTGTACAACAATTAAGACTATTATTTTTAAAACTCGGCCCGCGGCAGTATATCCCAGTCATGTTCACAGTATGCTGTTATTTCTTTTTATGGACAACGTCAAATTCTAGCTCACTAACAGGAAGTAGTAACAGATTATTCTCAGATTCTTCTTCTTCTTCTTGTAAGAAAGAATCCATTTGTCAGCCAACGTCTCTTTGTTGGCCAGGAAAGCCAGACAGGCACAAGTGAGCACTATGAAGATCGTAAATTAATGTCTTAATTAAATCAGCACTCAAGCCGTAAAAAGATGAGGTGATGTGAATGATCAGGTAATTTCAGTGCCTCCTTGTTTGTAACCTTGTTCTCCAGTCGATAGCAGACTTCTCTGACAGCACATGAAAATCAATGGGGATCTCCTGCATTATTCCACATTATCTGCTAATGACGCCGTCAAAGTTCAACTAGATTAGAAAAAGGAACACGGGATTTGGCGTCCTCGCACTCAACCTGGCAGACCAGAAATACAATAGAAACTGAATTTAAGGGATACGGAACCCACAGACACTGGATTCAACTGAGACAAAATAAATCCAATCCACTCAAATCTGTCTTTTGTATGCACAGTACATTTCCAACTCTGCTAGCTACATTTCAGACGTTTACTGACGCACTGGAGCCATCAACAGACAGAGACTGGTCATGTGTTTCCAGTTTGGGCTGCTATTTCATCGTAAATATTTTACAGTAGACTAGAGCAGGCTAAAAAGTCTGTCAATGCGGCGGCCATGTTAGCAGGGGAGAGAGGCCGTTCAAATGTATGGCACATGGATGTTAGCATCCGCTAGCATTCGAAGATTGTCGTAGTGACCAATTTATATCTATGACTCTTGTCTTCTCTGATGCGAGTAGTGTACACATCTCTCAGCCATGCTATGTTTGGCATAGTACACACTATTTTATTTTTTTTTATAGCTCAGGTAGCGTGGCTCATCCATGCGATCAGATGTACACCATCATCCTCTCCCCCAAAACACCAACAAGGTAAGTTTGTATACATTTTTCAACAAGGTTCAAGCTTTATTAATACATTTGCACTGTTCTGGTCACTTTCAAACTCTGCTGCAATGTCATCAAAAAGACTTTAAAGTAGACTAGAGCAGGCTAAAAAGTGTGTCAATGTGGCCTCCATTCTAGCAGGGCAGAGAGGCCCTTCAAATGTATGCCACATCGATGTTAGCATGAGCTGTGGGATGCATACCATCTACCCCTCCCCCAAGCACCAGCAAGGTAAGTTTGTATACACTTTTCAACAAGGTTCAAGCTTTTTTTTAATACATTTGCTCTGTCCGGGGGCACTTTGAGACTATGAAATAAATATTACAGAACTGTTTTGTACTGTATTGGTCCTCAAAAAAAAGTACTTCAGTGTAACGGATATTGTCCATTCCCATTCACACGAAATGCAAATGACTCCTGATAGGGCAATGCTCACCTTCCCCCACTCCGTCTCCAGACTGGTACTTGTTCTTTGTCGATCCAATCACACCTTTGCTGCCTTTCACTTGGAGTGTTGCGTGCTTCTTGCCCCTTCCTCACCTCAGCCCTCCCAAACACAAGTGCGTCGAGTTTCATTAACCTCTCCTCTATTCTCCTCCTGATCCAATCTGGGATCAGCGGAACAGGCCCGGTGGACATTGTGACAATGTCGATGAGAGCGAGCATGTGACATGAAACCAAGTTAAAGTTTTCTACCACAAATGTCCTTGCAACCCCGCTGGGGGAAACGCTTGCCATTTAGCCAATTTAGCGCTCTCCGCAAAGCAAATGCTTTGCATGCATGAAATGTGTCAGCTGCCGCATTTCCGGCCCAATTACAGAACACATCAGACGGGATCATTCGGGAAGATGGGGCAATTTCAAAAGCTATTTCCCGCGAGCTAATGTTGTATAGATATGGCATCTGTTTGTTTGCTCAGTTGCAGTAATGGCGAGATCACATGCAATCAGCGAGTTGAATTTACACATATTTATGCCGAAGACTTTTATTCCCCTCAGATAATGTTGCTGATGTTTCAGCAATCCGACAAAATGGCCGCATCAGAGCAGTAACAGAAAACCTATATCCATTTATCCGCTTTTGACTTTGACGAGGAACCAAGCAGAGGTGCAACCGGGCACGCTTTCACTTTTTACTGCAATTTCCATAAAAGTTTCATGAAATTTCATGTCCTCCTCCATTTAGATCGGACAGCACTTTATTCAAGTAAATGCCACCCATCCAATTCTTGTAGCAATTGCCCTCATTCGGGTTGCAGGGGTGACATAAAATGGATGCATTGATTTGCACTACAGTAGAAAAATGGGGAAAAAATACATAATAATAATAAATGTCAGGCTGACACTGTGATGTGCAGTTCATAATGAAAGCAGTTTTGCACATTGATGGCTGTCGCTTCCAGCAAGTGTGGTCAAGGCACACGCCCGAGTGCTTCACATCGTGGACAACTCTGTTCACGTCCGCAGATGTGAGCGGTGCTTTCCCTTGT